CACTTTCTTGCCACAATACCGAATAACAATGTGTTAATCTTCGCAGTTTTTAGCATCTACATGGCGACGTGGTGTGTTATCCGGACTGATAATGAGTGCAACTACAGGTTTTGTGGGCTTGGTTCCGGCCAGTTCGTCAAATGCGGCAACACTAACGGTGGGGACCTAGCAAAATCTGAGGGCGTAGTTGACAATACCGATCCCGCCCGGACAATTTCAATATCAGCAACCTTAGTTGACCTCACACTCTCCACGACGGCTGCAAGAACGCTCGCACGTGATCGATGGCGGTGTCATCGGCTAGCTTCGGTTAAGGCCAAACAGCAGCTGAGTTTGAAAATGAGTGATTTGGGCAGTGCGCGTCACACTTGGGGCAAATGCCGTTATTACCTCCGAGAATATCATTTCAGAAATCTATCGAAAAGCAAAAGTTCGCTAATCAATTTTCACGGAGAAGGAAAATTCATCAGAGAATTCACCGGAGAAGGAAAAATATAATTGATGACTCAGCCATTTGGCGGGGGCTCGGAGGGCACTTAATCCGTATCAGACAATCTGATAGGATAACTTTTGCAATGGATTTTCCTCGGGAAAAAACCACTTGGCAGATTTTTGCACCTCGATGGATTCTTGATCGATATTCTGGTAGGTAATATCGGCGTTTGCCCGTAGTGTCACTTTTCGTAACAAAAAAATCACAGCTTGTCTGCAGTGTTTCCGGCCCGTGGGACCATGATGCTTGATGTACAATTTTAAGCTCCGACTCAACTCCACACATACATGAGTCTGTTGTCTCCGTCCGCATCTTGGTCCCCATCCAACACATCCCTCTACTAGCTCCTGCATCCTCAAGTTATTATGGGAACAAAGAACCATGAAAACCCGTTTGGACTCTTAAAAAGCATTACAGAACATCACGAGAAAGAATCAGGCAGGAAAAAACCACGCCCGGGCTCGAAGGAAGTCCTCAAGGTATAGTCGCCGCACAATTGTTCCTATATGAAATCGTACGATCAGATTGCATCCTCATATAGCGTTGCAGTAGCTGCCTTGATGGAGGGGAAATCTGGAAGTGCACCCAAAAGGATTGTTCCATGTTTGTATGCATACAACGAGGCGGGTCTGGATGTCTCAGGCTTCTTCGCGACGTATCAGCGGAGGAGTTTATATGTCCTCGCTGCATGATCAAGGGGAAGAAGAATGATATGCCTGTTAGTGGTACCTTTCTGTCTGCAACTCCTTTGCTGTCGCTGAAGAATGACGTTTCAGTACGAAGTCGAGAGCTATTTTCGTGGATCGCGGATGAGTGAAAGAACAGAGAACCCCCTGTGGGTCGCATCCTTATCAACGTCGGACCAATTCGTTAAAAATATAATTCATCGACACCTCCTGGCACATTATACCGATTGTAAAGAGAATGTGCGTGATCGCTGCTTTGGATTTGGTTCAGAATGGCCACTGAAATATCTTTCACACATACAGTTGTTTGTGTGGACCCGCGACTTGAGGGAATCTCTTTCGCCAACAGTGACCGAGAAGCCAATACACTGGCTCAGCATGGCCCGTGGCATTGGGAGTGACATATTGGTTTTGGTCAATGCACACTGCGATGCAGACTCGGGCAGAGTGATTCTGCCTCAGAGTCCACGTGCCTTACAAATGACTATGCGAACGGTAAAGATTTCTGGTTTCTTGCATACGTACTGAATGCATACTCTGGCCCTCAGGTTATATCTCAGAACTGCGGAGGAAATGCGTTTGAGGAGATCCTGAAAACCTCCACCGAGCGTGTTTTGGAAGGATGGACTGTTGTACGAGGTGTTGTCATCCTGGAAGGCAGATCATGTGTGAACGTTCGGGCAAGGCTAGAAGAACTCGTTGCCGAAGTTAAGAAGTAGGTCAGTTATATAAAGAACTATTCAGACGCTAAAACCAACCATTAGTTTCCGTTTTGATTTCATACTGGTGTTCACGCACACAGACGTGAGTCAGAAGGACCTGACGATCCCCCTCATGAGGTTCATAGAACACGTATACGTCAACTGCAAAGATCCATGGCGAGCTCTCCTAGATGCCTTTGGTGATAAGGACATCCTTTCCTACACCTCTCCGGTGCTAATCTTCTCAAACTATCATGTGATTGACGGGCGCAGACAGCGGGAGGGGATATATACGCGGGTGCTGTCTCGGGTGAATCACCGTGTTCGTCCCTGGGGTCTAGAATTTTGGCGATGTGATTGCGGTGCAAAATTACCTCAGCTCTCCTTCAATCACGTCGGTAATAGAGGACCCAATAACTGGAAGACAAAGAAGATGAAGATGAATTGCACCAAATGCAAGAAACCCACCACTAGGGTCTCATGTCCTGATTGGGTAGCTTCATTCGAAGGGCATATGAATTTAGTGTGGTACAATTGGCCTTTGACTTCTGACAACGTCGAACAGCTTGGTAGAGAGTCGGATGCTGAAGTTGTCATAAAGGATTGGTATTGAATAGAATATCCCCTCCTTTTCCTCTAAGGCAATGGATAAGATTACTTTGCTTGCGTGCCGCCACTAATCCAAATGGCTGGAGTGGGGCTCGTTACTTGCAATGCCTGCACTGCGACCCTACCCACTAAGCCCCTCATGCTAGGCTGATTGGGGTCTTTGTTGACCTAACCCCGATGGCTCTCCCTCACGACACCCCTGCTAAGCTTATTTGAGAACAGGCGTTCGAGAGGGCTCCGGTGTTTTGCTGCACATGATTGATTGGTACTGACGGTGGAGAATACAGTCAACTCTCCCATATTGCATACCCCTCGGGAAATGCTTCAGGCTATGCATTATGGGAGGGTATGCACATAGGGAGAGACACGATAAATAGGGACTAAATAACCCGATTTTATTCTATGTTATTCTAGACCCAGTAGTACGAAAACTGTGTACGTGATGCAAAATACGAGACTCGTGACCAGTCTCATCTTGCGCGTACCCAAAAGGGTAACAGGCCTGAGGGCCTTCGCGCTAGAGAGACTGGGAGGTTTGGAGCACTCCCTGGCAGGGGACCAGAGGACTTTAAAGAACAGCTCGGCCCGAGGGAAATCCATAGCCGAAAGGGGGAAATCAACCCCTGAGTCGCAGACGCGTCGCGTCGAAGTGCTGCTCGGTTACATATGATATACACACCAATCCATATGTCATCCCTCCTCGCAATCGCTACAGAATGAATGCATATAATCAATTTTAACTATCATTACTGTCCGATAACGCACGCCGCTCACTCGGCGAACTCACGATCACATCTGTCGAAGACCTGACAACTCAGCAAGTCGAGATCATCTTCAAGGCCACAAAATGGTTCGACACTCGTTACTCGGGCGAGCGAACGCTTCGCCAGTTTCAGCTCGAGGCAATTGTAAGCTTTCTAGCTGAAAAGAGCGTCACCGTTAGCGCAGGAACGGGCTATGGCAAGACGCTCGCTATGATCCTGCCTATTCTCTTTGGCGACCCCCC